TGGCTACGGCTCAAGCTGTTTGGCCCGAATCTCTGCCCCACTGCCCCCCGACTTCGCCTCTGCCTGATCTGACATCTTCCTCCCCCTTGGGCGGCATCACTGGCGGCCAGTCCTTCCTCCTTGAGTACCTCTTTGTTTGCGAACCATCAGGGAGGGTGAGGTGGTGACCGGGGCGGCTAGCTCTTCTTTTCCCACTACCTCTTCACCTGTGTACCCCGGACTTCCTTGACATCGTGCACAGCCTCGACCTCGTGGTGCTGGGTGACTTTGTTTGCCTGTGCTGTGGTGCTGGGGTGACTTTGTTGGCCTATCTCTGTCAAGTCATCTTGTCGTCTATCTCCTTGCGGACTTTGACTTCATCGACATTGTGGACGACCCCGTTGTGGTGGTGCTGGGTGACCTTGCTGGACTACTTCCTCGGTGTCTTTGTACTCGCCTGGTTGGCTTCTACCTCTCGCTGTTGGTCAGATGGCGGACAATGAGGAAACCGTACCTGCGGCCCTGTCTTCTGTCCTCGAAATGCAGGTGGATGTGATAGGGTCGCCCACTGAGGTCGCAGACACGTCGGACGTCGACATTGTCAATTCTCCCGTCTCTGAAGGGGGAACCTTCGTCAAGGAGGAGGAGAAGGTCAAGACCAAGCTCGAGAAACGAAAGCGGGAGCGGAAGAAGCAAAAGGATGGCATGGCCCCTCCCGTCTTCAACACCGTTCCGGACAGCGAGGATGAGGATCTTGAGAGTCCCTCCAAGAGGTCCAATGGGTTGCCCAGTGGATCGGGAGAACGGCCTCTTCGTGCTTCTGATATCAAGGAGATCCTCGTTGGCCATGTGCAGGAGATGAAGAATGCCTGGACTTCCTTTCAAGGTCGGCTTGAAAGGGTGGAGCAAGAGCAGTCCAAGACCAATGACACGATGCGCTCTTTGCTGGACAGGACCCAGGTTGTTGAAAAGGATGTCCTCCACCAGCGACAGGTGGCACAGGAGCAGGCGGTCAACCTTGACAGCCTCACAACTGATGTTAAGAACATGAAGGTCCGTCTGGATGCGATGGAAAAAAGTGGGAGGAATTTGACAGCCCCCCCTGCAACTGCGGCTGGCAACCCTGACCCATGGGGTGAATTTCTGCGTAGACGTGATCTCGGACATGCTTCTGAAGGTGCCAAAGCTGCTGGGGGTGCTTCTGGATCTGGAGATGTGCCTGACAAGGGTGACCTTTTGACCGAGGATGAGAAGAAGACACTGGTGCTCGGAGGGTGGCTTCAGGATACAAGGAGGAGCACCATCGAAGAAGAATCCGCCTTTCTTTTCGAGCTTCCCGAAGTGAAGGACATTGTTGACGCTGAGAAGCTGTTGGTGTATGGACCGCGTCGCTCCGTTGGCATGCTGAAGTTCAAGATTCGCGAAGGGGAAACCGAGAGGGAGATGCGTGAACGCATGTGGCAAGTCATCCGGGTCTTGGCACAAGCAAAGCACATCCTGCCAAGCACAAGGACGGCTGGAGATGATCGGTCGCTGTGGGCTAGTTTCGTGAAGACCAAGAACGCGCGCCTCCGAAGCTCCCATGTCAGCATGATCCGGAGGGTGACTATGTCCTTGGCGAAAGATGCTCACCACGCCAGTGGCGGCAGGCATGGGAATGGGTTGAATCTGCAAACTACGGCCTACGACTGTGACTGGAACTTAGGTACAATTTGGTGCGGTGCTCTCAAACTCGGGAGTTCCACCCATCGCGTTCCGAAGGAAGAGGAAACAGTTGTTATGACAGGGGGGTGGGTGAGCATCACAGCGGTGGCAAGAACGGCTCTCTGTTCTACCGAGGAGGCAAAGCGTGCCTTCGAGGTTGAGCTGTGATCGGGGCAGAGACCATGTTTCACCCAAGAGGATGATATGAATTCACGTGCAGGGGGTGACGTTCGTTCCTCTCCTAAGGAGATTCGTGGCCCGCCTTCAGGCTTGTGTGCAAAACATCGCTGGGGGCGAGTTGGCCAATGGAACATTGCAGGGCAGAAACTTGACTTGCTTGACGTTGCCGCAAAGGACCTTGACATTCTCTTCGTTCAGGAGATTTCGCGGGACAAGCCGGGGTGGGAGCAGCTGGATCGGGATGAATTCCACTGGGTCGTACATCGCAAGGCTGAGCAATGGCGTGGGGTCGGAATCGGCATCGCCGGGGATAAGTTCGACTCCGTCGTCTTTAAGAAGGCCACGAGCAGAGGCATCTGGGTGGTTGCTCGTATCGTTGGGATCGGGAGGCTGGTTCTTGGCTCCATACATTGTCACACCGGTGTCACCAACGCTGTCTACCAAGCTGCAGTCCACGAGTTCTTCAGCTCCTGTCCGCGAAAATACAGGCATCTTCCTCTGCTTTGTGGTGTTGATGCAAATGAGGTCCCCAAATGGGTTCAAGGTGACTCCTCCGCTCTTGAGGTCTCTGACAGTGGAGCGAACCTCAATGCCCTCCTCCATCAGAGCATGCTTCAGGGGATCAAGCCGGTCTCGCCTCAAGCAGTTTTCGCGCGTGCCTGGACTCATTTCCCTCGTGATGAACGGCGCTCAGGAAGGCACATCGACATGCTGCTCAGCCGCCAAATGCACGTCTCCGCTTTTGAAGTTGACCCCGACCGACGCCTAGCCATTGGCTCTGATCACGCTCTACTTTTTGCTGACATTTGGGTAGCTGGTGGACCTGCTCGAGTTCGTTGGACAAAGGATTCGCGTGCCAGATGGGTCACCCAGAACCTTCCGGATGTGATCATTGTTGATGATGGAGACCTCACCGCGCTTGCCAAAACATGCACGCGTCCCCGGACATCTTCGGCTTTCAAAGATGATGCTGAAACACATGCTGCCATCCGC